CTATTATAGTTTATCTAAAATGTATGTAATATGTATGAACTCTTTTATGGAAATGTATTAGTGTTATGAATTTATCAAACTATACTTTTTATAGTTTAATATACGTGTTCTAAAATGAATGAATAATATTTATTATGAATGACTTAGTTTCAGTTCATGATGATAAACTAACAAGGAAACACATTCAATAATTAGAGCTTATGATTATACACTTTGCTCAACATAATACAAAGTGTTATGATATTTACATGCTGTTGGCTAACTTTAGCCATTCTTCCCTGTTTTGGAAAAATCATAGAAAAATCATACGAAGTCGAAAACTAGATCCGTAAATTCTGAGAGTTCAAAAATGTGTCTAGTTTATTCATAATTTTTATCACGATTTTTAATGACCTCCAACTTGGGTGAAAAAGTCCATAATCATAGACTGGTCCGGATTGTTGTTTGAAATGATAGGCAGTTTTTGTAAAAATCACCATAAATTGTAGAAAAATCGTATGGAGATGTGCAAGTATTCATTTTAAAGCTAAGAACTTGAACTTTCGCACCTTGTACAGTTTTGAAAACAAAAATGTTTAAGATGCCTAAAAGAGTCCGTGAATGGAGTTGAACTTTTCTGATGAAGGCTGTTAGAAAATTTTAGTTATGTTCTTAGTGTTTTAACTTGTATTCCCCCCCCCCCCCTGAAAACTTGAGAAAACATGAAAAATGTAGGGTTATGAACTCACCTTGAGTGATTTCAGTAGATAAGTGTTGAAGAAGAGAAGTGTTCAACCCAAGAACACTTGAAGAATCACTTGAAGATTCGAAGCTCTAACGCTAATATGATGGAGTTTGTGTAAGATATTCATGATTTGAGTAGAATGAAGTGAAATAATCATAAGGAGGATGAATTATACTTACTAAGAGTGGAAGAACACTTGAAAATCAGCCTTGAATCTCGAAATTGGAGTGGGAAAAGTTTGAGAGAAAGTGGTGTTTGATACTTAGTGAAATGAGGGCAAATGAGATAAATGAAGAGAGAGGATGTTTGTTCCAGCTCTAAAAACGTGGGAACGAGTGTAAATTGAGTGTAAGGGACATTGAAGTGACCTAGGTAAGGTGGGAGAGGTGTGGTTAGTCAAGAGTGGGTGTGGGGTGGTTGCTTGTGACATTGGATAAGGCAAAGTCAACACTCCACCTTTAATAATTCACCCATTTGATTTTTATTATTTAGATAATGATTTTCATCAAAATATGTTTAAATTATGAATATTTAGAGTTTATTATGTTAAAATATAATTTCTGGAGAAAATCCCGCTTTAAAATCTCGAAAAACGGGCTTAAAATGTTAAAAATATCAAAAATGGGCTAAAAGTGACAAATTTCCGAATTCTGGTCGAGGTTCGGCCTTCTGATGCTGAAACCGAGAGGAGGGAGGGTAGAAACCGAGAGGGAAGAAAGGAGAGAGAGGGAACCGAGAGAGGAGAAGAGAGACCGAGAGAAGAGAAGAGACTGAGAGGCGGAGTAGAGACCGAGAGTGAAGAAGCGACAGAGAGGAGAGGAAGCGACAGAGAGGCGGAAGGCGAACAGAGAGTGAGAAGCGACAGAGACCGAGGCTCGGTCTTAGCTACAGTGATTTGGTCCTCCGGTTTCGGCCAACAGAGGCTCGGTTCGTCCAGGAGAGAAGGCGACAGAGACCGAAAGCAGAGAAGAGAACAAAGAGGAGAGAAAGAAGCAGAGACCGAGAGGAGCAGAGACCAAGGATATTTGAGCGTGATTTGGGAGAGATTTCTCATACTTGGAGAGATTTGGGAGAGATTTGACATTCTTGGAGAGATTTCTCATACAAAGAGATATTGAGAGGTTTCACATACTTGGAGAGATTTGGGAGAGATTTGACATTCTTGGAGAGATTTCTCATACAGAGAGATATTTGAGAGAGATTTGGGAGAGATTTCTCATACTTGGAGAGATTTGGGAGAGATTTGACATTCTTGGAGAGATTTCATACAAAGAGATATTTGAGAGAGGTTTCACATACTTGAGAGATTTGGGAGAGATTTGACATTCTTGGAGAGATTTCTCGTACAGAGAGATTTGAGAGAGATTTGGAGAGATTTGACATAGAGAGAGATAGAGTGAAAATGGTTGAGAGAGGTTCCATGTGAGACAATTGTGAGTGTCCGGCATCGCAATGCATGGTTTGTAAACCCTGTTAAGCCTTGTTTAAGGATCTTACACACTCCCGATGAGTATGCAACATTGTTTTATCGGTTTGGGTCGCCACGTACTACAGTTTTAGGTTAAGGAGACCTAGATGTTCGCACTTTTTGCTTTATGATTTCTCATTAGAATAGAAGTTATGTAGAAGTTTCATAGTGTAAATTTTAGTACTCACGGGCAAATTGAGTCAAACGGTTTGACTTGCTGACTTTAGTTGACTTTGACTTGACCGAAATTTGACGGTTGTCACATCCCCCCGTTAAAGGGAATTTCATCCCGAAATTTAAATTTAGGCAAGGAGTAGGCATGAACAATCGAGCCAAGAAGTGAGGATACTTCCTAATCGACTGACTCACGCGCTCCCATGTGACTCTAGGTCCTTGGTTAGTATTTCAGCGAACTTTCACTAATGGGAAGTGGCGTTGTTTCATCCGCTTGACCTCGGTCCATGGTCACCATGGTTCTTCCAAGAAGGTGAGGCTCTTGTGGAACTCAATCTCGTCGAGGGGAATTGCTAGAGTCTCGTCAGATAGATATTTCTTGTAAATTTGGGGCGTGTTGGGTAGTGTGTACTTTACCAAGCTCGCGGGAGTAGATTGAAGAGTGAGTTACAGGGCTGATTCTGACAAGAATTTCGAAAGACACAATTATTTGGGGTATTGGCTTTCCATGCTTTCCGAAGCGTACTAAGCCTTCCCAGAGTGAGTGTCTCTAGAGGAATTTGGTCGGTTATACCGGCGTTCTAAAGGTTTCTTCCTCTTTCTTCTCTTCTTGTCAAGGGTTGCTCCCTTTAGGGTCAAAGTTGGGAGGGGGGTTCGTATTTTTCGAGAAGTTCGAAAGGAATTAAGACGGTAGGTCAAGACCCAAAATCTTGGCGTGTTTCTGCTAACACCTGCGGTGCTGACTGTTTCTCAACGGTTTTGATCAATTGAAAGGGTCCTTATGAATTTCCACCTTGGTAACGATGTGTCTTGAGAATTGAACTCCTCAATTCCAAAACTCGTATCTAGAGAACTTCAGGTAATACTTCTCTGATCGTATTGCTTACGTGGTTTGTTGTAGCTGTTCTCCTTGGTTTCCTTCTTACTACGAGGGTAGATAAGTAAGTCATTTGTAATGACGATGATGAACTGATCCTAGCAAGAATGGTATATCCTATTTATTACGTTCATGAATCCAACGAGTGGGTCTGGTCCTATCCGAGGGTTATCACTACGAACTTTCAACATCTTCATCGAAATTGGAGGATTGTTCTCGGACATCCTTCTTCAATACTCATGACTGGTGATATTCAGATCTCAGGTCCACTTCCTGAAGGGTACCTCGTTCCTTGCGGTTGGTCGGCCTATTCGTTTATGCGAGGCAGATAGTAAAAGTTTCTATTAGAGATGTTGTCGGGGCCTCTGAAATCGATGGAATTGTGAGCAATTTGTCTTTCTAATTTGAAGAATAAGACGAGGGCTTTTCAGGGTAAGAAGCTTGGTTCTTCAATTTCATTGTTGAGTAGTTCGACAGGTTTTTCCTGACAGCTCTTGTAGCTCGGTAGGAAGTATGTGGGTTTGGTTCACGCGACTAGGACTTTTTGAATGGTAGGACATTTACTCGTCCTCCTGGGCAACCTTAGCCTGAAGCTCATGGCAGGACTCGTACCATATTTGTCCCAAGCTTCTATGCTTGAATCTTGTCTGATACATGCATGACATTCCCGAAGGTCTCCTGTAAATACATGTGATAAGGCTTCGGGAAGTATGACACTCCTCTGGTTCGTGTTTTGGAGTTCCACAGCGAGAGATGACCCAAAGGTCCGTGCTGGGTGTTTATGAGAGACGATAGTTTCGATATTCAGGGGTTAGGCGAAAGGCCCTTTTGTAGTCGTTTAATCAGGAAGACGAGGGCAATATCAATCAAAATTGGAATACGACAACACTATCTTTTTAGATAACATGAGATAAGTTGTATTCAAAGGAAGAGATCACTAGAGTGATAGAGTGTCCTGTATTTCTTTTCTGTGTGTTCCATTTTGTTAAATGTTATGATTATTGCATATGATTCATACCACAGTGTCTAGCACTGGTAGTGGGTGTGTTTTCGATAGCCAGTAATGATACTTGATATCATGATTCCTGACAGGTCTC